GAACGAGAGGAGGGCGAGCAGGGGGGTGAGGATGGGGAAAGGTCTGGCCATACGACTGATGATGGTGCTGATGATGCTCCCTCAGTCGCGGAACAAGATAAGGGCGCCCCCCCTTTAGCTACTGCAGATCATTTGGAGGAGACGAAGCTGGAAAGGGAGAAATACGATGCGCAAATAAAGGTGGAGGTTAAGGCCCGGGAGGTACGATATGACAGCGACGAGCTGTGCGGGGCTATGCTAAGCCAATGCAGTCTGTGGGGGACAGGGCACTAGGCTGAGCGAGGGAGAGTTTGGCTAATATGTGTCTTTTAACTGACTGACTTTGTCCAATATTTTTGCTACCGCATGGCTCCATTTCGGTGACTTTTGCCACACCTGTGTGGAACAAGTTTCGGATACCCGTGGCTGTTGTACAACAGCCGCGAGTGTTGAATACATGTTCATCAAATACGCGGAAATATGTTAACTATTGCAAGCAGGTGCGCACGTTGGGTCTGTGCACAATCCACTATTGACGTCGAAGCACTAACGCACTCATGCGCTAAGAAGCGACGCTAAATCGCATTGAATGGCTTTGTGGCTCACGACAGCCGTCAAGATGCGATGCAAAGAGAACTGTGGATTTCTGCTGTGTCTTGCTGAAAGAGCAGCTTCCCGTTCAAACGTATCATTGAACACACGGTCTATAGAGCCTGAGCGGGCCTTGCATTTGAAGTACACGCTATGTAGCCATCCACTATGAAAATCTGTTAGCCTGAATGGCTTTCGGCTGTGTACCGCCGCAATACAGTTCTGACCATTGAAATCCGATCAACAGTATATTCCCTTGGTGCATAACACTTCAAACACCAATATAAGATACAATTCCACCTGAACATGCTGCGCGGCAGTGGTTACAACGAAAACGATAGGGAGTATTTGCAATTCACTAAAACACTGCAGAGCCTTGCCGTTGGTAGATGGCAATCTGGGATGCTGCCACGGATTTCATTGTATTGTATATTGATGGACGTGTAGCACAAGAGTTATCGTTGATTGCTTATTCCTTCAATATGCAGTGCCAGTTTGTATGGGTGATGTCATGTGCTGCTTCTCTGGGGCGCCTCCTGCAGGAGCTGGAAGACATGCTCCTCAGAATGGAGCGTCACTTCAAGTCTGAGCAGGCCGCTCGCAAGCAGGCTGAGGACATGCTGGAGCAGGCCGTGCAGGCGGAAATCTCCGCCAAAAATCAATTGGAGGATGGGATGCGGAAGCAGGCTGAGGAGAAAAAGCGCGTTGAGGAGGAGCACGAAGCCATACACATGGTATCAGCCCGTGAAATGCCTACTGGGATTCAGGCAACTCGTTAGGCTGCTGGGGGTACTCTCAAACAGACAAGAGGAATTCCCTTTTGAAATTCGTGCATGGCACAAAAAACTCCCCAGATGTTGTGTCGCTAAGACTAATAGGGCTTCTTTCTTTGCTGGAAGAGATGACCCTGTAGTCACAGAAATGAATTTGCGGAAGGGAATTCATGGATTGCTTCAAGAAGTGGTGAAATTCACCAAGTCTAACTGATCCATATGAATCAATTCGGTGAAAACTACTGCGAGAGTTAGTAGCCAGAGAATTAGCGAGGCACTCGGAGAAGCGAGGGGAACGAGCTCAGGAAACGAACTCCATGACGATTGGCAGATGTTAATGCCGCGCAAAACTTGTCATAAGCATCTCCGTGTGTCTCAGCCCAGCAGTGTAGCCAGGAATCTGGAAGACCTCGTTCGACTACTCTCTGCATGAAATAGTTCTCATGCAAATAGCGATTTCCTTTAAATCCAGCATTGCACCTACTGCCTCGTTGATGTGACAATTTGTGTTGTCCTGGAAGGTGATTGCACTGCTTTGCTACTTCGGCTGTTTAAGTTGTCATGAATGCTATGTGTGTGCAAATGCAATCCATGCATTGCTGATGCATAGGAAAGAAAAGCACTGGAAACAATGCGGCAAGAGTTCGAGAATGAAATCCAGGTCGCTCGTACGGAGGTTCAAAAAGCAGAGGAAGCGCTGAAAACAGCAGAGGACAGGGTGCGGGCTGACGAGCGAGTAGAGATGGCAAGAATGGAGACTGAGTATCGGACCCGCATCATGGCGCTCGGGTCTGAGCTGGAAAGGGTGCGAGAAGAACTCACCATCCGCACACAAAGTCTTGGGGAAGAGCTGGAAAGGTACGCACCGCCGCTGGGCAGCGCCCCGCAGGAACAATTTGCTCTCGGAATATGCTTCTGCCACACAGTATGGGTTCCCTGGGGCAGAAAAGGTAATTCACCCAAGGATGATACGGCCGCTAATGCCCGTCAATGCCCGTCAATGGGGAGACAGAAGCGTCAAGAGAAGTTTCTGGAATATCCGTTGGGGCATAGCAATATTGCTATGGAGTACCCCCCCCCCCCGATTAAATGAAGATCAAAATCAAGCATTTTGAAAGATGAATTGCTGCATTGTCGCAGCGTTATGACAGTCTGCGGCAGCAGATCCACATATCGTAATTCCAAGGGCTGCGATACGGTACTCAGAAAATTCTGCATCTCCACAGAGCTCCAGTGGTGGGCTCTTTTCATTTTCGTCAGATGTGACAACACAAGCCGCTTTGCCACCACACGCGGGAGCGGAGAGTCTTGGTCCGAGTGAATGCGTGTGACAGCCTGAATTGCAAGAAGCTCCAGCACAGCGTTGTTGCTGAGCGGCAGCAACAGGAGAATGCCGAATCAACGGTGAACGATGGCGCTCCAAAACACGATCGAAGCGAGACTTGCTTGACCGTCCCCTGGGGTTAGCAACAGACACTGGTGCTTGTAGCAGACTTCCAGCCAATGCCCCACCAGCCGCTGAAACTGTTATTTGGCACCATGACGAAGCAATTTTTAAAACAGCCTCGCAGCTGCCGGTGCTTACAGGTAGATCCACTCTATGTCCGTAGCTCGTCCACGGGGGAGATTGTTTTTCTCTAAACTGTGTAAAGCAACTACCGGCTTTCCCCAGGTGGCGACTTCAGGCGGAGCTGGCGGCCGTCGCCGTCATCGAGGCCAAGAGCGAGCTGGTGGAGCGCCGGCGGGAGATCGATGTGACCAAGGACAGGATGGACAGGCTGGTGGACAAGCTGTACATGGGGCGCGAGCACGGCATGGTGCTGCACGGCGCAATACAGGCGGCCCAGCTGTACCACGCCCAGGAGCAGCACCTCATGCTGTCATCCATGCAGAAGAGCTACTACAACGGCGTGCAGGCGGCCCTGCCCTGGGGGGGCCACATCGAGGCGCCTTCCTCGAAGCAGCTGCCGGGGCCCGCCCTGGAAGCCGCGGAGCAGGTGGGAGGGCGGCTGGGGAAGGGGAAGGCGGGGGGAAAGGCTGGACGGGCCCCGGCGGTCCGATTGCCACCCCTGTCGGACGCGAGCCCTCAAGTGGGGGCGGCTCGGGGGGCAGCGCAGGATAAGAGGCAGGTAAAAGCGCCCAGGCAAAGGTCCAAGGATAGGTAACCTGATAGTGACGCTGAGGGGAATGGCCCTGGCGTTGAGCATACCGATCACAATGGCCGGGGGGTGGCCACCACAGGGGCAAGGCATGCGCGCTGGTGGCCACCTTGAGTTCAGTGGGGTGGTTGTGTCCAGCAGGGATGTCGAGGCGCGACTTACGATGCGAACGGCACCATCTGAGTCCTCCGTGGGCAACTTGCAATTCACAGGAATGGGTTATTGCAGGCGCACAGGCACAATCCCGTTCATTCAGTGTGTGTGGCTTTCGTGGAGCCTGACGCTGTCGTGGTGAGGCCCACGTGAACCCCCGTCATGTTCCAGGTGCGGTTTTGATGCACTTGGCATCCATTCAGTGGCATGCAGGCGCCCCTTAGCTCTCATCCATAAGGAATGGGTCCATGTCGAAATAATATTACTGCCTGCACCAACTCGGTGACTGCTTGCACCAAGTCACGTGCACACTTTGTCCTAACCTCAGTTTTAGGGTTAGGTTTAGTTCAGGGTGAGTTTTAGGGTTAGGATTAGGGTTAGGACAGGTTTAGGTTTAGGTTTTAGGGTTTAGGTTTTAGGTTAGGTCAGTTTTGACGGAGTTGGACATGATGTGCACGTGACTTGGTGCAAGCAGTCACCGTTTTCGTGCAAGCAGTCACCGATTTGATGCAGGGAGTAATTTTATGCCGTCCATGTCCGCGTCGTCGAATTGTGTGCGAAATTCACAGCTCTGTACAGATGGCACAATACGGCCCCTGCGCGTCCAACATTCACAGCGCCACCTCGCACCCAAGTCAGTACAAAGCGGGCCCTTACTAGTATTGCTTATTTTAGAACAGAATGCTGGCAAAGTGAATTGTACAAACAGCATGAACGTGACAGAGAAGTGCTTTGGAGCTGGTGCCTAAGAACACCTCCAGGTGCAGGGCCCGCCCTCACTTTCTGTCTGATTATCACTGGTTACCCTTTCTATACGCAGAGCAAACTAGACGTGGGTTTCTGCCAGGTGAAATTACCGTTACTGCTCCCATTCCTGCATTCGGAAATTTTCTTCGTTTCCAGTCAGTGGCCTGTACTCTGGGCTGACAGGGCGGCTCGCATGCGAACGCTCTCAGGGAACTAAAGGCCCCACACAACTGTCCGTCGTCTATGCTCTTCAAGACCGCAACCAAGGAGGACTTCACATTCAGCACTAGCGTGCACACCCCTCTTGAAAATCATGCAAACGAGCATGAAGGGTCCAGCGGTACAGGTGGCTCAGTGTACATAATCGGCATGCACCAACGCAGGTTACAAGTCCACAGATCACTGTTACAATTCTGGGCACATCGCCCGTCCGGCAGCCACGACAAGTGTCGTCAAACACACACGAACCCACGCACTGTCGTCGGAAGAGATCAAAACCTCCCAGGCCCAAGCCTGGGCCACTGGCTCCAACAGAGACGTCCCATACTGCTGCATTTAAACACCGGATCGACAATCCCATTCCAACAAATACAACCGCTTACAGCATCTCAGCACCCCCTCTCCACCCGCCACAGCTACCCCAGTGGTCGCAAAACGATCCCCAGCCACTACCATCACGCCACAATGCCCGGATATGTCTCCCATATCCATTACACTCCAGATTGGGGCTAAAGACCCACAAAACAAAAGACAGACAAGTTCTACACTTCGGTAGTAGGACCAAGGCATAATCTCCCCAGTCGATTGTGTACAAAAGAAACACTCCAAGCCCATGGCCACTCTCCCCTGCAGCAGCAGTAGGGTTGACAAAGTACACAATGGCTGTCCTCCAGCCATTTACGAAAACTTCAGGACAAAGGCTCAGAGCAGCGCACTGGCCCCCCGCACACGCCGTTGGCGATGTCATGTTTGGAGGACCTCACGTTGCACATGCCATTGCAATAAAATACCAAAACAGTTGGGGCAGCCCATATCCTGAAGGCTGAACCCTGCAAGTTCTCAAGTTCAGAACAACCCATCGGCAGGCTTCGTGCTATGTGAAGCGTCTGTGCATTCAGAATGGGTGGTGACTTGGTGGGAAATTGGTGAAATTGGTGTGACGGAGGATTGGCATCTTTCCTGAGCGATGGCTTGACCACAGCTCCTGGAAGTTCATGACAGCCTTCATGAGGCGCGTCACTTCCTGCACAGAATGTGGACCAGGGTTTTCAACACACGACGTCCAGCACGAACCACACAGAATGACCAGCTCCCCTTACACACGACAAGCAGGGACGCTGCCACTGTCAAGTCAAGTTGTCAAGTCCACAGAGGACTCAACAGTGGGCATCAGGGGGCGACAAGGGTTAAACAGCGGATACGCGACAGCCACAATAGGCACTTTGCTTTTACTCTTTCACAGACATGTGGCCCACTATACAAAGGAAAGGAGGGGGTATATAAAGAGGGTATATAAAGGGTACAGGATATGAAGTCTGTAGACTGTGCTTCGTCAGATTTCTACACTCAAAGCATGCCCCAGCGTCAAGCAGATGTTGGTAACAGTGGATGCTGCCACAACAGCTCTGCAATGCATTGCACATTGTGCTGTTGCCCATACCACTCGAACTACCTTTGGCACCAAGGCCAAGCCTCACAGTACAGCAGTTTGGACTGAACTGAAGGCTAGTGTTCATCTGCACAGCTTGGAGGTATGTATGGTAGATACACAAAATGACCTCCATCTTCCCATATGCGCATGGATTCGGATTATCAACACTGACAAAAGTGTTCCAAAATTGTCAAACACAGCCATTGTTAAAATGTTAACGACCAGACCCACCTCTTGCTTCTTCCTGACTTCATTGTTGAGCCTCCTGTTTTGAACCAACAGGCCCACGATCACAGCCGACAGCATCGCCAAGCTGGCGCCGTAGGCCACCCCCTTCCAGTCCACACGGCTCACAGTGAGCTCGACCTGGCAGTCCAACAGAAGCATCTCATGTCACTGAATAAGGCAAACGGCTCTATCACCAAGTAGGGACTTTGCACTCCCCCAAAGTCAAGTCACAGGAAATCGTTGCTTGTACTGGCTGTGCATGCAAATCACAAGCAATCTAGGAGCAGCTGTCAGGCTGCCACAAACGCCGGATATATCATTGAAAGTGTGGGCATTCATCAATAGTTCAGAAATACAATAAACAGGCTAAAAGCAATGTCCCACAAGCGATCTACACAAAGAAACACCTGCTCGAAATCAGCAGGATGCTGTGTAAGCTGCTTTTGCTACCATTCACTAATAAAAGCCTCCCCCAATGCGACTCTTTCGATGGCTGGTCAATGACGATCGCACAGCATCTCTGGCTGGCAGGGACTCAAGCCAAGGCATGCCCTGCACAAGACCAATTGGCACCAACTCACCATGCTCAGCAGCTGGGGTCCTGTCCCATTCGGCAGGAGGCCCATCGCCAATGCAGTGCAGCGCTGCACTATCCGGTGCATCTTTGGGGACAGCCAGAACAGCCCCCCAGCCACCTCTGCCGCACCCTTCAGAGACTTCGCATCCACCTTCTCACCACACTAAGGTTACGGTTGGCATGCATTGGAAAGCAGCAGGAGTTCAAGCACATAAACCCTGCCACACTGCTGAAGCTCCTGGCCACAAGCCACGTGTGCTGAATCGAACTTCAACATACTAAAGCCAGAATCAGAAGCATGCACAGCCCCGTATTTGGCACTGACGCCAATCAGGCCCATGCTGAGGGATTGAGCAATATCTCAGCGTGGGCTGAAAGCACGAGTGGGGAGTGAGATCAAAATGCAAGGAAGCGGCACACAATTAGGGTCGCCCTCTTAGACATGCTTGTTTTCTGCACAGTGCTTCTCCCAGGCAGGATAAACTACACAGGAGCGACCTAACCTATACCAAGAGCTCATTCTATGCCTGGCGCATACAGACACACAGTCCTGACCTGGGGTGCAACCTTGCCTTCCTCTTGGGGCCCCGCCTTCGCGTGCGACCCCACTTCCTCCATCCCCAGGGACTCATCAGGCACCAAAGTCTGCTCGCCACCACTCTGCGCACCCTTTGGGCTCTCAAAAGACATCTCGCTGAAGGCACCCTCCGCAGCCCCGACGTCCACAAAGCTGTCCACGCCCCGCATGGACTTCCCCACTGCCACCTGCCAGGAGCACACAGAGGTGCCAACGTTCTGACTCTGATGTGTTTACTTCTTGCATACGATCTGGTCAGTCCATTGGCATGGTGCATCACATAATTGATCCCCAGAGCCCTTGAAAGACAGTCTCAAAGTCACTGGCTGGACACTGGCAGAACTCATTGGCTTCAGGCTCGGGTACACAACACAATCAAACAAGACCACCAGCTGAGCATCGCCAAAGCATGTGGGAGGCCCACACATGCAGAAGAGAGCAGAAACTGTCAACACACTTTTTGCCACCTTGGGTAGGTGCAAGGCCACATTCGACCAGAATGCTCAATGCCAGTTGATCAGTTATTCGTTGGTAAAGGTGAAAATTTATCCTCTCATTTCCCGCAGCCTACAAGAGGGCCAAGGACCCTAATGGAACTGCTGGTGGCAGTGAGCACATCTACTCTATGGGACAGACCACAGGCAACATGCATTCCAGCACCTTGTATTCTTTCAAACACACCTCAAGCTCTTCAGTAGCCTGGACTCCCACGCACTCTGGCCAATAGCTGCCATCCAGCGACCCCTCCTGTGACATCTCCTGCAGGTCCACCATCGCCTCATGGCTGTCTGGCTCTGACTTCGTGTGGCGAGTCCCCAAGCCCTGTACTTCTTCAGCAGAACTGTATCCATCCCCATCAACCCCAACCTCGATGGCGGGGTTCGACTCATCTGTGAGTGACTGCACTTCCAAAACTTCCTTGGCTTTCAGGCACTCAACAGGGTGTTTGCCAAGGTGGCCAGAGGCAAGGGGAGTGTCACAGCTGCTGTCACTGGACACACTCAGTACTTGCGCTGGTTGGGGAGCCTTGAGCTGGCCATCGTCTGTTGATACAGGGAGTGGTGTGGAGCCACGCGGGGCGCTGCCAAGAGCCAAGCCCTCCTCCCCTGCCGCTTCCAGCGCCTCTAGTTCAACCAGCGCCCTGGCATGTGCCTCATGAAAGTCCTGGAGCACAGGGAAGGTGCAATTCAGGGTCTGTGTTGCGATCGATATTCCACCCTTCAGCATCAGCTTCAGATTTCCATTATCCGTTCTACCACTGTCCTCATTCAACTCTCGATCAACTTTCAGCAATGAGAACAGGCCTCGAAATTTTGCTCTTCGTACACATACACTACATGTCCACTGTATGACATCTTCTGTATCCGTTGAAAATGGTACTCTTTGGTTCTACCACTATAAACCTCGGCAAAGCTCCAGAACAACAGTTTCAGGACAATCGCCCATATGGGAGGAGGGTGGGGAGGGTGCCAGGCTGAAGCATACTCAACTCAGGTACCAGGACTCACCGGTGCCACATCTGCCTGCCCCCCAGCGTGCTCGAGCACCCCAAATTCGCTGCCTGGGAGGGTCCTGTGCACGGAACACTGCGACACTTAATTGACAATGTCATTGACCCATGGGTGTGCAACATGCATCTCTTTGAGTCTGACCAGTCACGAACGGCCCAAGGCATTCAAACGCGAGGTGCATTCAACACGGCGGCTGGACAGGGGGCCTTCAATTGGGCGGCTGGGACACCTGCCAAAGCTGGACGCCTGCCACAGCGCATCAGCGCGCACCTGGCGGGGCTGCCACACTCCGACGCGTGCGAGCAGTCGACAATCTCCCAGCTGCTGGAGCGCTTGCCTCCGCTGCCGGCGTCCTGGTCGCCGGCGGCCAGCTGCTGGTGCACCTTGAAGTCCAGCACATCCCTCCACACCTCTGCCTCCCTCTCCACCTGGGCACAACTTCTCGTTCACTTCTCATTCACCCCTCGTTCACCTTTCCCGCCACGCAGCGGTGCTTGTGGTAGGCTATCATGGCCAAGTACATACGCCTAGCCGATACCTTCGAAATCCAGGAGGGAAAAGCCACAAGACAGGATGGTCGCAATGAGGGGGGCGGGAAGCATGTGGAGGAGAATGTCACCTTTATGGCAGCGGGCAGGTATTGATGATCGGCAGCGGGGTCCTGGGCGCCTGAGTCGGACATGGCTGACGTCCTGACCACCCCAGAAAACTCAGACAACGAAAGGGGCCACAAAAACGAGCCCCTGAGAAGCGGCACCCCTTGGGGCCCGGGAAGGGGGCAACAGGCCAAGTGGGACGTTGACGGGAGGCCCCAGGGATGGCGCAGCCAAAGGGGGTACCGCACTTGGGGGATGGGCAAGCGACGGAGAGGTTTTCAAGCTTAGAGCGCGAGAAATCTGAACCTAGGGCCGGAGAAAGTAATCCCGCCTACAATCCTGAGGGCTTCACAGCCAGGTTTGAGCAAACGGAGTCGACAGTGCAGGGGAGGATCGCCCGTTGACCGGAGAGGGGGGTGAAGCGTGGAGGAGACCACCCATAAATATTTTCGAGGTAGCACGGGCGCATTTGCACGACGCCGAGCGCGTGTCTGCCGTGCGTTGGGAGGGGCTGCGGCTGCCCATCACGTCCAACACAGCTTGCGATGATCAGACGCGCGCATCGAGATGGGGTCAATCATCCCCACCATCACCGCCAGGGAGCGCTCAACTCACAGGGGCGAGGAGGAGGAGAGTTGTTGTCCTTCGAACTGGGTGGCGTGCAGAGTTCTGGTGGCCGCAACAAGCACCGGCGTGGGGGTGGGAGAATCCCAAACGGGGTCGCCCGCAAGCAAGAGCAGCCGTGTGGCCAAGATTTTTTGTGGCAGGCATCACGTGTTGCTGACACACCATCCCACGCACCCCAGAACCACATTCCTACCTCTTTTTGGCACCTTTGGTGGTTGGGCCCACTCTTGCCAGGATCAAACAAGCTTGTTCGACTCACGCTGTGCAGCGTTGGAAGCCAGTCAGCAACCAAGAATCCACGCCACGCTTAGGCTGCATGGATGCATGGCAATCTTTGTGGGAATGGAAAGCCCAGCAGAAATGCAGGCTGGTCGCCAACAGCAATGAACCAATACTGATGGCAGGGGCACATGGGCAACAACCCACATTCTTGTGGCATGCAAAGCATTCGCTGTTGCGGCCCATCATAAGCGCCTCCCCTGCTAGGAGAAGACAGCGCTGGTAAGGGATTGCATGTTCTGACCATGTTGCTGCACACAAGATAGGCATTGCTAGCCATTGGTGCAGAAAAGGTTCGCCTTTTGGCCCGTTTGAACGGGGGCTCCCATCCATCGCATGAACGTCAATGTGAACAAACGAGCACATTGTATGCCTCACCAAGCACATTCAACGTACGTCAAATGGACTGCACATGGGCTGACCCTCGATTCCTGCATGAACATGGTTGGGTGCTCCAAGCCGTCAGTTGCTGTTGGACACAAGTCAAAAGGGTAACCCTTGCATCATGCCCCAGAACTACCCACTATCCCCACTAATTGCACAATGACTGCTTGTTGATTGCACCCCAGATATCCTACCTCAAGTACCCTGTGGCCTCTGGCTTCCATGCCTGTCCGATTTCATCCACCACTGCCATTCGCGCGCAAAATAAAAGGACCAAAATGGCCAAAATGGACGCACTTCACGCACTCCCTAAGGCCATCAAGAGTGTTCCCCAGCTTCTGCTGCCTCTCCAGACAAGATGCCAAGCTAAAGAGTGCTGGATGACATCGTTTAAGGAAAATGCCGATGGATCAAACACTTCAAAGCGATGCTCACAATTCAAACTGCCAAAAAGTTCAACGTACTATGGACCTCTGCAGTGGCCATTGGCTTTCCTGACAACAACAGGTTCTACAGTACTCTTGCAGGGCACTGCAAACGTGCACCAGAGCCACCTTGTTATGTTGGCTGTCACAGTAGAAGCTGTCCTCTGCCAGAAGGTGAGAATCGACAAAATCTGAGGGCTGCAAGTTCTGGCACAACGTACAAATACATGGTCTTAACTGTCCCTGATTCCTGTCCCTGACCATGCGCCTGGCTTGGCTGGGGGGCCTTGTACCTAGCCATGGGTCTGGTCCCAAATGGGGACTCTGTACATTGTGCCAAGACTTGCAGCCCTTGAAACGTACCTGGAACTGTAGCTAGCCCCACTGGCAGTCTGAAGCCAGGTATGGTCAGGTCGTGCCCTATCTGTGCACATGCATGTATTTGTGTGTGGATGTGAGGTCCAAAACGAGAAAAGGCCTCATCTTTGTTCCTCCACTCTAAAGAAGCACCCAATTCTTGATGAACTCTCAGTTTGGGACGTCCAACGATACTGGCCAGTACACTGCACAGATGCCTGAACCAGAAAATTTTGCGCACACTTGAGACAGCCAAGTCCTGAAGCCAAACTGAACGAAAGGAAATTTTTTATCTGGAACCATCGTTCTCCGATGGGACATTTTACAACCACTGCTGTAAGTTACTGTTTACAGAGAAACCATTCGACCCAAAGTTTCCGCAAGACTGCTGCATCGCCTTGGCATCACCTGCCACAATTCGCCCCAGAACGAGTAGGCCCCAACGAACAGCAGAGCCAAAGCCTCACAGGCTGACCTGCATTGTCTGCCCACAACCGGACTCTCCAGCCGCCACAATCCCTGGTCAACGGTCTGAGTCAATGCTCATGTCCGGGTGGAGGCTTCAAGAATCCGGACTGCCCTGCATCAGCCCAGCTGTCGCACACGCGATTGCTCGTCAATCTGGACCACCAGCCCACCCCCCCCATCCGTACCCAACAGCTCGCATGTTGTGCAAATACCGGCAAGAAACAGCCCTTCTGAGGGAACGAAGAAACGCCTGCTGTACCCGTCATTCGCCAACAGGGCGCAGTGGCTCGGATTGGGCTTGCGATGCCCACAAACCGCGATCAAAGGAATTCGCCCACCCCCACGCATTCTGCCCCGGGGCCCCTCGCCCTGGGCGCCCGCCCAGCCCCCGTCAGCTCTCCATCGCCTGCTCCTCCACCGTCCCCCCCTGCCCCCTGAAGACGAACTGGCCTCCTCCGGCCCTCCCCCACTCCCCGTTGCCCATCTCCGACCCAAACGCTGGCCCCTCCCCGCCCTCCCCGCAGGGCTGCCCAAACGGGTTGTCCCCCGCCGCCGGCATCTGGACGAACGCCTCCGATCCGGGGGGCAGCCTGAAGGGCCCGCCGCCAGGCTCGCCGTCCAGCATCTCCCTGGCCTGCACGGAGCATGCGCCGTGCAGCTCCACCTCCGCCTCCTGCAGCCGCCTGAAGTCCCCCTCGCCCAGCTTGACCACCTCCCGCCGCTCCTTCACCCACCGGTAGCTCTCCGCCAGCCGCCAGCCCCTCACCTTCATCAAATACGCGATCACCACCGTGGGGGACCTGCTCTGGCCGGTCATGCAATACACCAGCACGCGCTGGCCGCCCGCCGCGCAGGCATCCAAAAACTCGAAACACTCGCGCAGGCAGGGGGGGTTGCCGGCGACGGTGTGGTAGGTGAACGTGTTCTTGAACAGGGGCTGCAGGCCGGGCACCAGGTTGAGCACGTGGCTCACGCCGTAGGCCTTGAGCAACTCGCAGCGGCTGGAGGCGTCATAGCCGCCCAGGTACAGGAAGTCCTGCAGGATGAGGGAGGGCTCCTTGATGGGCGTGGTGGGCGCGGGCGCGGGGGCGGGGCTCAGGACGTGGCCGCACACGCTGCACGGCACGCCGCCCTCGTAGTCGTGGTAGTGGCTGCACACGAAGCAGGGCTCCTCGCGCCCGCGCTTGCTCTTCATCTGGAGCACCCCGTGTGTGGACGTGGGCGTCCGCGCTGTCACGCCCAAGGGTGTGTGTGTGTGCGTGCAGACGGGAACGGCAGTGCGTGGCAGCGGGCAGCTGGGCGCTGGGTCGTTGAGCGGGGCAGCTCGGTGCGCAAGGGCGGGGCTTCACACTTGGGCCCCCGCGCTGGGCCAAGAGGCGGTCATGGCGACCGGCCCCGCGTGCGAATGGGTGGTCCCTGCATCTGGCGGGAGGCCGCATTGGGGAAGGAGAATGGCAAGGGCAGTTGCTCTTACTTTTTGAAGTACTTTGAAATATTAAAGCCTTCCGCGTCAGAAAATTTCACCGTTATGCTTTTCGCTCCGCGTTTTTGTTTTCACAGCGTTATTTCTATTTTTTAACGCTGCTCCGCGCAGAAAGGCCAAGATTTGCGCTACTATTTATATTATTTTCTCCGCAAAAAGAGACCAAGCGTTACGTTACTATGCGGAAGGGTTTAATATTCGCAGTACTGAAAAAAAGCAAGTGCGGTTCGCACACACGGTTCGCAAGCACGGTCCGCAAGGGCGTTGCGAGCCGGGAGAGGGTTGTGGAGTCGACCCAAGGCCTGCCGGTCCCTTGTAGTCTCGGGACACTTTCTGGTGCGCCCAGGAGAAAGAGAAGAGGTGTGCAGATGGAACAAAACCGCGGGCCGTGAGTCTCAAGGCCAGGCTTGCTCCGCTCCTGCATGTGATGAAAGCGGCACGTCGTGCTTGCCCGAGGCCGTGGGTAAACTACACCTCGCCTGTTGTGTGCCGCACACAAACTAACTTGTGCGCCCAAGGCTGCCCTTTGTCGCCACGAGGCAAGCACAGACAAACTGAATTTTGCCCCTACAGCTTAGGATGCGTAAGGGCCAGCCACAGGCGACGCCTTCCTTGATCAAAGGGGATCATGCCCCTGAGCGCGTCAGCGGCGGGCAAAGTTGTGCAACAAGGACTCGTTGTTGAGAATCTGGCAACTGAACACCCTGCTCCACCTGACTTTAAGACAGCTTGTCCAAAGATGGAGCTCCAGCGCCTCACTCAACCGCCACACAAGCAACAGCAAAAGGGTTCGAAGATGGAAGAACACCAGTTGGTCCATCAAGGTGCCACGCCAAGGGGCTGTTGAATGAGAGGTAATTAATCTGCTGCCACATGCGTTGTTTCTCTATTGCTCCTTGCCATCGATCTTGACCAGCTCTGTGTGGAAGATCAAAGCTGCACCACCTGCGCACAGCACACAACAAGTTGCATCCAGAATCCAGAGGGAAAAGAGAAGTGCACAGTTCAATGTAGCGGGGCCAGGGTGGTTGTAGGGGGAAGGAGCACAATATCCTAGCAACATGAAATGTCACATGCAGTTATGGAACGGGTTAAATGTGGCAACAGCCTCACTCTGCATCCTACACAACAATGAATCGTGGCAAATGGGCTTGACGTTTCCAACTGCACACAGCGAAATCAACACAAAGAAGGCCTACCAAAAGGTAGAATAGAAATTCCCTTGTTTTATCCCTAAAGGCGTGTCCAATAGAATGTGTAGCTCCTTTGCTACTCAACTCTATGAACTGCAGTCAGGACAAAACGGTATGACAAAGTTCTTCCACCTGAAAGACAACGATGGGGCAGTCAACATGCAGTGTTTCTTTGGGCTGGCGAGCTGGGTTCTATGCACAGACACTGCTCAGTTCGCCCGAATTAGCTTTGTTTGCTCAGAAGATGCCATGATTGCATTCACATGCATGGTTGCCGGAATTCAACTCAGGGCCACAGCCATCTGCCAATGCCGCTCCACAGACAGCACGACAACTTTGGCAAGACCTGCATCGTGGCTCAAGGTTTGGGTTTTTGGAGACTGTGCACGTGTTGCGGTTTTGGGGCTCAATGCTCCCAAGTATTTCTCAGAGTAGAGACATTGCCTGTCAATTCTAGTCCTTTGGCCAGCTCAAGTACTTTGTGGAACGAACCGTATGTGGCCATCGTGGACACTTTGAAACATGCACAGCCGATCCATGAGTGTTGTGAATCCCTGTAAATCACCTGCAAGGTGCAGGGCATCGTTTCATCCAGATCAGACAGACTGAAATTTGAGGTGTTTCAACTTAATGTTGTTTGGCATGCATTTGACTTTGCGATGGGGTCAGTCCACTGCATCATTCCCTTTGGTACAACACACTACTGTGGCACAAAGTGCCTGCAAGTTGGCACTATGGTCTGTGGTGTGCCGAATCGGATTAGGCATCTGCCAGATTCCAGCAAAAGCAATCGAAGTGATTTTACACTGTGCAACATGCACCCTAAATTAAGGAAGTAGCAACAGCTGGGAAATTACTTGTACATAGCCCAATTCATGGACAAAATCCATGCACCCCTGTCTGCTGCGTCACAGCCCAGCCTGCTACGCCATACCAAGTTGCTCCTAGTAGAAATTCGTTGAGTGCTCACATACCTGGTATTTTTGGCGGGGCACCTGCGTCTCCATACCCCAGGCTTGGCGGAATCTTCAGCTTGCGTTTCTCACCTGGGCTGTGAATGACAAGCGATTCACATCAACACCATAGAAACCAACATCCACAGTGGACAGAAAGCATGGATGCTACACAAATACACAACTGGGTAGGTTTATCAGCAAAATGTACAAAGATATGTGCCACATCTGGGTATAGATAGAAGGCCTGCATCTTGTGATCGAAGGGCTGCAGTAGGGCATTGTTTTGCACACCTATCTGCTGTTGAACACACACGAAACCATGCACTCCAATCTGCAGTACTGAATATGCTGAGTGTGCAGGGGGAACCACAAACAACCACTGTTGCTTCGGCTTAATTGTTTCTCAACAGGCCACACAGCCCATGACACATGTACAAAGCTATGGTGCTTTCCATTGGTGGCTCACCACATTCCCAGAATGCCCTGATCCCATCCTTTGATCACTTGCCCTTTCCCCAACGTGAAGACAAAAGGTGTGCCTCTTGAGTAGCTGCTGTCAAACTCTGTCCCATCTGACAAAGTTCCCTGGACAACAAGGACAGTCAATCAGACAGCATGCAAAATAAAAATGACAGCAGTGTGTGGCCTCAAAAGTGGCAACAGTGACTACATTGTCCACAGATCCCTGGCGGTCAGTGCTCCTTTGTAAAAAGACAGTGTCCAATAATACACTATGCCAGTGTTGCATTTGCTTCCTATGAAGGCCTCATGTATGATAGGGCATGCAATGAGAGGGGCTGCTGACTGGTTCAATCACACAGCCATACCCTCCGCAGCTACATCAAATATCAGATCTACAACTCTGGAGTCGATCGCCTGCACAATTTTGTGCTTGTTGCTGGGTAAGGGTTGTACGCAGCAATGATCAATGTGAATCCTGGCTCTTGGTCCTGCTCTTTCCTAATGCCCTTGAAACAGGAGTGAGGGGCTCCATGTGCCTGTGCAGGGCAATTCACGTTTGATGAACAGGAGAGCCAAAAAATAGCGATGCCTGGCTTGGCGCTGCTATATGCAGCAGGTCAAGAGTTTCCAGCTCAGTTCCCTGGCACTGTTCGGATCTTTACATCGCTCCATGTCTGTGAACCCAGAGTGGGGCACACCACCTTGACACACCGCACCTGGTAATGCACATGCACGGAGTCGCCCACTGCAGCCTTGACCGTGCACTCCTCTGGGCGGTACTGCATGAGAACATCAAAGCATATATCATGTACCCACCCCACCGGCAGACTCCGTGAAGATGGCTGTGAAAGGCTGATAAAAGGGGCCAGGGCAACAGTTGGGGCTACACTGCCCCTCAGCCAGCGCTTTGTGGATGTGCAGGCAAGGAGCCAGGAGGGTCGGTAGGTCACTGACATCAAAAGATCTGCAGATGTGCGACGAGGCAGACCCCGTGCGCATCAACACGGTGCACCCAAGTACAGGGACAGATCCAGCGTTCTTGTGCAGCACCGCCTGCCCAGCATGGGCACGGGAACTCCCCCCGCCCTCTCCGTGGCCCCAGCTGTTGTGGCTGGTGACAGGTGACAGTGCAGAACAATGGTCGGCGTTGACGAGTCTGTCCACGCACGGTACAAGGAAGCCCCCAGGGCGTGTCGATACCCCTCCCGTTGGGCTGACACCTGGCCCTGATGGTCGAAAAGCGCGCCAGAGAGGTGCGGCCAATAGCGCGGGTCCGCAGCTCTGGTACTGGTGTCGGCCTGTTGGTTGTGCGGCGTCCAGCACCGTCCGTCTGAGCCTGACTCAGCCCTGTCCCACCTTCACGCCAATTTGGAGCTTGTCGGTGTCGGTCGTCGCGTCGGTCGCCCAGGCGGCAAAGGCGAGCATTACCAGCAGTGACAGGGCCACGCGGAACACCATGGCTGGTGGGGGGAGCACGAGTGACCCGGGGTGGGGAGGGGCAATCGCGAATGGTATCCTCCTTAGGGCATCTTCAACGTTGTCCCAAGGAACGGTACCTTCCTTGTATTACGAAGGTTAGCTGGTGGTTACTGGAGTTGGAAGTTCCTGCTCCTATGCTGCACGGATTTCCCTATTTCGTAATTCTGGTGATTGCTACCATTCTGCCTTCAGCAAACGCTGTCGCGGCCGGCATTGACAGATTGACAACTGTGGCAACTTTGATAGCGAGGGCCTTTAGGACTGGCAGTTGCAGCCAACCCATTAAGCAATGTGTTTGCCAAAAGGAAATCGTTTCGGAGTCCTCCTCCGAGCTGTGCATTTCTGCAGATGCGGGACATTGTACATCCAGAATACAATTTGCAAGAGAACCGAAACCTACATGGCCGCCTGGGAGCCTTTCTGATACTTTCCCAATCTTTGCATGGGTGGATTCAGAAGTATCCATTGTCCAGTGCGAAGGCCTCAACCTTGGCCATTGTTCGGAAACTGGCAGCTGCATAGAAACCCAGCTTCAATCCCTTGCGGTCCCTAAGGTCCACCGCGCTCAATCCCAGCACTCCCCTTCCACCACTGCCCCCACACCACAATCTGAAGGGCCCTCCCCACAGGAGCAGACGGGGGCCGCGAGCTTGTCGGCTCTGGACGCGCTGAGTGGGAGCAACCGTCGTGGGAGAGCGCAGCCGTCAGAGCCGCAGCGCAGGTTGCGCACAGCGGGTTAGTGCCGCTGTTCATCCCTTGGCAATCACGTACCTTGATTGCCGCCACGGCGCACTGGCCGCGCTCAGCGCAGCGCTCGGCAGTCAGCTCTGCCTGACGTGTTGGTCCCCGTAACCTTTACAGCGAGAGTGCAGGACCTGCGGCCTGCCGGCGGATGAGGAACTATGTCCCGGCATAGAGTGCTGGGCGCACGGTCCCTGCCGGTCGCCGCGATTGGGAGGGGCGGGACGACGCGGGAGGGGCCTTGGTCCTGGGTCTGCGCATCTGCGGGTGAGCGGTCGTTGCGACGCCGTCCATTGGGAGAAACACCCCTCGTCTGCTGCGATGAATTTTTGAGATCGGAGCGCGTTTGTGAGACGATAGGTGGCGTCTGGAACGGAGAACGGAGGGATTGTGCTGGTGCATTGTGGCGCCAGAACGTGTGGACCGTTCAGGGACGAGTGTTTGCGGCCATGAGTAAATTGGCCACAGTTTGAGTGGCCAGTGCACAGCGGGCTTCACACCCATGAGGAAACTGTGTCCTCCTGAATGGCGATGTGGGCTGCAACAAATCTGTGCGGCAGAACGGAAACAGCCGAGAGCGAAATGTCAGTGCGCCCCAGAAGGCGCCATGGCCCATTGAGCAGTGCTGGACTCTCATGGTGCATTGATGCGGTGCAGCCATCATTTTGGGAAGCAGGGCACAAGCTGATGCAGATGCGCCAGTTGAACAGGTGACCAAACGAGAGCTTGGTTTGTGGGGCCAGTCTTGAAGTCCAGTGGCTCCAAAGGCTGTGTACCAGTTGGCGCTAGGTGCCAGATGTCTGTACGGTGAACGGGCCCTGACAGTAGATCGAAAAGGAGCTTGGAATGCTGTTCTGATGGGCCAAAGATGGAAACCAAGGGGTCCCGGACCAGGTGGTAGAGATCAGGACGTTTCATGTTCTCGCATGCCAGACCTCCTCCTTGTTGAAATGCTCATTGATCGACTTGTAAGGACAACAGCAGTGTGCTTTATTGGAAAAGGAAGTGCTGGCCTGATGTTTTCGAACACAGCAACTGAAAGAGGCAGCATCGCCACTCTTGCACTTGTTGCTTGGTCTCCCCCATGAACATTGTTTGCACCTTGCTTCTCAGGATGCGCAAGACGATGCAGCGAAGACTGACTCGGATACAAAGTCAAAAAGTGCACAGCAAGGCTCCCACACAGCACAATGGCGAGTCTACACTGACATGGGCAAGAGACTTGCCACCCAAGGAAGGTACCAAATGCCATTCGTATTGACACACTTCGCTACGTCTGTTGTGATTTTCTGTTTGTGACTTCAGGCATTGTTTCTGGCAAGTGTGGTTAAGGAAAGAAGCATTGAAGCCCCAGACAGGTGCACCAGATTATTCATTGTGTGGATACTGTCAGTGCTGATGCTCTATTGGCTGGAGCTGCTCCACAGTTTGAGTCTAGGTAATGCATGTTGAATGGCATGATTGCATGATCTGGTGACAGGGGGTGCGTGAATTGTTGTGTAGGGTCCAGGAATCTGAACACTACTTCCGGTTGGCTGTCACTGAAGCACATGAGGGATTCGGACATCGTGACCCCCATGTTGCTGCGGCATGCAACAACTTGGCAGAGGTGTACAGAGTGCAGGGGCGCTTGGATGCAGCAAAAATCCTTTATGAGCAGGTCAGGAGCGCACCAGGGCTGGTTTGTATTCGAATTTGCTGCAGCAGTGGTGTGAATGTTCCCTATGAAGCCACATCAGCAATTGCTGATGTCTATTGGTGCATCAGTCATGAGGTTTATGGTTGACAAAGTGTGTCAGGCTGCCACATCACAAGCTCTGAGCTGGACGTACGCATTAAAGAAACAACCCCATTTGCACAGAGGGGCACTAGCTATCTCTGACAGAGTATTGAAAATTGCTATTCGCATTGAAAGAACGGCGGCAAGAAAGGTTTCTGGTGCTTGTTCTGGATAATGGCATCGCACTTGCATTTGAACACATTGCTCCTCTCCAACGCATTGGCATTTGTTCTTGCTAGCACTGTGCCAAATTTGCGCAAAACATAGTTGCGTTGTAGGCTTGCTTGTTTGGACAGCTGTTCACCTTTAAAATTGCCTTTGACAAGACAAAGCAGTGCCCTTACTCCTCGTAGGCAATAGTGGGGACATATGCAGTCAACCGCCTCTTCTTGTCCCACATCCATTAAATTCATCTGCTCGCCACCCATTTGGTCAGACATTGCAACATGGTGGATGTCCCAAGCCTCAAGCCTGGTTTGGATCGGTGGTCTGACATTGCTACATGATTGATGTCCCAAGCTTGTTTGGACAACAGTTTTTCATCGGTTTTGTTGAACATAACATTTCATGACAATAACCACTGAATGCATGGAGTAGGCTGTCGACATCCTGAGAGTTGCCTTCGGGGAGGTCGACGCCAGGACGGCTGTGGCCCTCCACAATCTGGCTTCTATCTATGAGGCTTCTGGTAACACCTCCGAGGCAGCAGAGTACTATCGCCTTTCCCTTGAGGCCCGCAGCTCTGTTCTGGGGAATGACCACATGGAAACACTGCAGTCCAGGATAAGCCTGGCCAGGATGTTGGTAGACCAGGGGAGGAATGTAGAGGCCCATGAGGCTGCTGAGCAATGTACCAAGGTTCTGGAGGATAGGGGTAAGGTGTACTGCATGTCTAGAGGCAGAAGCTTGTGCACATTTGACCATTTTGTATTTCGCACTGCTGCATCTCACTGCACTGCATTGCACAATGTGTTGTGAGAGGCTGCAATGTGGTTGGTCATCTGACACAACACCACCCTTCTGCCTTCCAAGGCAATTTCAGTATGCTTATGTTTGTGAGAATGATATTGTTGACGTTTTGGAATATCAACAAGACCTATTTCTTGGCCGGTTGGATATCTCCCCATATGCTTAGCGCAAAACAAAAGCATCACCCACAGGGTCTCCAGCACAGGGTGATCATGAGGCGGCAAGTATTGGTCCTGATGGACAGTGGTCCCGGTGTGAGCTAGTGGCTGCTTGCAGCGCATTGGATCTTGGTGCCTCACATTACATTATGATTTTGTGGACATGTGGGTCCCCTGAATGCGTGTTCGTTTGCGATGCAAACTCCCTGGTTTTGTGAGTTTTGCCTTTCACCCAGAGACATCCATTGTGTCTCACAATATGCAATGGTGGACATAACTCTGTCTTAGCTACATGTTTCAGACTGTAGATGTTGGTTGTCCGCCATTTGTAGAGTGAATTGCAAAACAATACACCTGCAGATCTGATCCAATATTGTGCACCTGGGTGTTCGTGCAAACTTGTGTGCACTGTGTCTGAAGCTGCAATATCAAAGTTCCGACTCCAGGCAATCAAGAACTTGCATCTTGCTTGTTGTCTTGGTTGGGTACCAGCAGCATCTCCCATTCGTTTTGGCGCACATTGGTTTGATACCGGCGAATGGATCACAGCATTCAAGTGGTAGTCAACAACTTCACAATGCAAGTCCTGATCAGTAAATCTTCTCCTCACAGTTTTTTCCTGGATGAGGTTTAGCACATAAAAGTTATGGAAGTGACAGTGTTGTCCTTGACTGCCACTACCAGATCGTGGGATGGGTGACATCAATGTGCTCATGGACACCACTGCCGTCCTTTTGGCAGCGTGTGGTGAAGAATGCACACAGGCTGCTGCATCAATAGCGCTGAAAGCCCTGCAAGATGCCAAGGCGCAGGAAGTGCACAAGGTGTCTCGGGTGAGCAGTGGCGTGCTGTGAGATCATTCCTTGGAGTGGTGGCACCTTATACACGCTGCCAACAGCTGGACATTCAAGTGGTGGAAGTAGAAAGAATGTGAGAAATTGGCGCGGCTCGGTGGCACCACAATTGGGACCGAAAGCCTGCCGTTCGCAGCATGTGTCCATGGCAAGATATTATGTGTAACTACTCTGTCGATGTTATTGTGTCTTGATGTTATTGGTCCCATTGTGTTTGAAAGTATGCGAGTTTATGTCACCGTCAAACACTGGCATCAATGAATTAACCAACTACGGATATGTCTGCTCTTCAAGGGCAAAGTTATCTCCAGAACCCTGCAGTCAGCTAATTGCCCTAACTCCTCCCTCCCTGCTACCATCTTGCACGTAAAGAACTTCCATTCCGGAAAGAGCCGTAGTCCAAACTAAGCCTCCTGTGTTAGCAATTGAAAGCGAGCGGCTTCTCATGCACAGGGGTTCGCCTGACTATCAGGAAGCATTAGCCCTGTGGATGTCCATCCGTACAATGGCAAAATCTGTTGGCGTGACATTCGGCGTGCAGAACCGCCACCCTGCAGTCTGAGAGCGGCAAAGGGGCATTTCCTTTACTAGTACCATTGAGCATATGTGACTGATGCTTTGATTCGTTGAAATCAGCGAACAAAAGCGCCCCCAGGCAACTTCTATTACCCATTCCAGTGGCTAGTTGTGACCAAATGATGCTGTTACGGCTAGAACTGATTGAGTGTTATTAATAACTGAATGCATGAAAAGATGACGAAGCACTAGGAATTGCATTAAGGATGTTGATGAACGGACTGGGTATAAAGGACAGAACGTTTGTTGTCCTTTCGCCTCGGCTGTAAACCGTTACCGTGGGCTCGAGCGTACAATTCCCGTTCAGGGATCGCCACCCCTCGACCCTGCCTGCCTTCGTCAATGCAACACAGACACCTTGTTGCAACAGTGTCAGTCAAATCGACATTGTGCTGGTCATCAGCAAGAATTTGCAAGGCATGACTTCCATTCTGTTATTGGGAGTAGGCACATGAACTAACAGATGGGGCAGCTGTGCATGTGTGCAATCTTAGGCCTGCAATACGCTGATTGGACAATTGACAAGTGCACAAGCATTTGGTATAGCTGAAGACATCTGCACTGGCTGTGGTGACACCTTGTCAAGGATATTGGAAAACAGCCATGGAACACTGCCCACTCCGTTCCTTTGGAAAGCAATGGTGGAACTAGCCAAGCACCAGGTGCGGTACCGCCTCTGCTTCATTTCTGTGTGTGATACCAAAACCCTCTTTGACTGTGACTTGCTTTGGTTGTGATAGGCCAGCAGCACAGGGCACAGCAGAGGCTGCGCAGCTGTAGGCGGCGTGAGGCACATTTGCAGCATTTGCCAGAATGTGATAAACAACTGCCCTTACGCCTGCGAGATGTTGCCTAGCAGATTGGCGAAACAGCTGTCGGCAAATTGCTGCCAAGCTAGAGAATTCTAGGTGCACTGCGTGATACCCCATGTTTGTAGTCGCAATGCTCATGCGGTGCTTCTAGAACGAAAGAGTGGCGATGGCAGTGTCAACAGCGGGCATAACGTTGCCAAGTTGCTGCAATGCGATGTAGCGTGATGTCCGCCACAGGCTTTCTTCTGCACTTTTGCCGAATTCCTGCTTGTACGTTCTTGCGTGACACTTTGATGGTAACGGTTTGGACGAGCTGGGCATTCACTCCACAGCAGGCTGCTCCAGCATCGAAATAAGTGCAATGAGTGTGCCCTTCCAGGAAAATCAAGCAACAACATGCCAAACTGCAGTGGCACTTGTGTCCTTGGCCCTGATGAGCACGTTTGAACAATTATCCCATAAGCCACCAAGCGCCTGCCCATCGGACACAGCAAATGGCAGCAGAAGAGTCCAAACTCGTGCCGCACGCCCTCGTTGGATGCTCTGTCTCTGGGACTGTGTCGAGCCTAGATATGCGCTTCTTGATTTGCTCAAGCTTGAGAAGACCCAGCTTGTTGTGAAGACCTTGCCTGCGTGCCTGCAGGGATCCCCTGACGCAGCACTCACCTACACAGAGAAAGCCGTAGACATCTGCGAAGGGATTTGGCAGCAACGACTGCCCGGCAATGGGCCTTGGGGATGGGCAGCATTGTTGGGATTTTCAGGGGCTGGGGCCACTTCTGCGCAGATTTTGGCTGCGGGCATTGAGTTGTCCCACTCGCTCAATTTGCATGGCAGCGTGTTGGAGGCGCTGGGCCGGAAGCATGAAGCAGCCAATGCCTGGATGCGCGCAGCGGAAATTCTCAATTCTGACCATGTACTGAAGGCGCTTGAGGGCTCGCAACGAAATAAACAGGTAAAGGCTAGTCGAATTGGCGCTGTTGTTTGCTCTCCAGAGTAGACTGTTTGACGCATTGTCCGCACAACGCGCTGTGCAGGGCTGTGTACGTGATTCAGAGAGGTAATCTGAATGCTGAGGTTGGACCCTTATATCCCCTGTGGAGATCATGCCGGTATGACCACCCCAGGCTGAATCCCTCGGATACACCCAACATTCAACGTTACCACCTTCAGCGATTGTCTGTGTTGTACGCAAGATTCTCCGAATGCGGGGCAGCCTGCGGACAATTATATGTACTTTCGTTCTGTACTTTCGGCAGATGCCAACTGCACCTAACGCCAAACTTTGTCGCGCCTTTCAGCTCGAGACCCTGGCGAAACTTAGGCTGTCAACCTTGGAGGCGTCTGCCCAGCTTTTGAAAAATGCAGAGCGTGGGATAGAGCATTCGCACGACGCGCAGAACGTGACTGCTTAATAGCAGGTGACAAACAGCGCCTCGGGCAAATCTTCGGGCCGGTGGCAGATTGACAGTCGTACAGGTGAATTCATGTCGACTGTTGCGAGTTCCCTGGGTGGACGTTTGTGGGCCGGGCTTGATGCAATGAGCAGTTGCACTGTGAGTGGCCATTGTCTAGCGGGCGAGAGTAATTGTGACGATAGCCAGAAGTCTGGACACCTCGCCTGGACCTTGCCCATGCTGCACGAAGCCACTGTATTGGGGGCACAAGTCAGTAGATAGAAATCGATATAATTTGGTAGATAGACCGCAGGACGACCATACGTTGACATAGAATCGTAGATTGTGAACTCGGCTGCAGGTCATACACCGTGTGCAGGCCTGTCTGGACCTGGAACGAAAACGGGAAAAAATGACGGCCAATGCAAACACACTGAATGCCACTGCTTGTAGGGAGGATACGGCCCAACAGACACAGTTATTTGTGGCGCGTCAAAATGGTGGATGGTGAAGCGAAACGAACGAGGTAGCGCCGCGTTGCATTCTTTGCCAAGACGCCCGCAATAAACACCACCCAGAACCAGTATTGGGTACCTTTTGCTTAGTTGAACACCCTCAGCCCAGTTCCCAACGGCCGTTGGACCCAGCAGGATTCCCTGAATCGACTGGGGTAGCGACGCACTGCTGCTTCAGTCAGCAGCTTCGGCAACCCAGCAGCTGCGGCAACCCAGCAGCTGAGACGTCGAACATGGGCTGAGTGAAGCTTGCACCACACAGAGGGTGGCCTGAAGCCAGCGCGTCCTTGGCACATGGAGACACACGGCGCACAGCGCGTTGTCCCGAACCAAGCGCCTCCACAGACGCTTGGGGATTTTGAATGAACTTCCTGATTACCATCAAGAACCCCAGGACATCAACGTTGAAAGAGCACATCTGCATACGACTGTTTCTTTCTTTGTCTGGCTGTCCCCCTTGTCTCACACTTTACCCTCGCCAAAGCTGTCGCTCCGCACCTCCGCCAGGGCATACCGGGAGTCAGCCCCGTGGTGCCGTTTGAGTTTCGCAGAGGTGATGGTGCCACTCATGGGTGCAAGGAGATGTCAACATGTTCCTGGGCTGTTGCAAGGCCACAGCCACTTCGCAGTGTCCACTTGCAATCCCTCTCAACATTCTAGACCTTATAGAATCGTGTGCGTGCCACCAGGAAGGTTTGGCAGTTGGTATCACCAAACCACATGGCCATGAGTACAGAAGCTGATTCTTAGCACTGAAACTTTTCTGAACTGTTACATCTGCACTGTACCGACTCTGGTGAGCTTATCAACATCATGTTCTTCATTTCCCCATCACCAGTCCCCCCTTGAATTGAACTATATACTGCGTTTTCAACCTCAATCACCCATGTATCTGTTCTGCATGTATTCAAAGCTTTTGTGCACCTATGGCAGAACGGTACCATTCATGGTACCTGTTTTCCCCCGTTCTGCCGTTGCTCTGGCGCATACTGGGGCCGGCCAAGGCAACGAGTTCGTCATCCATGGTGTGCAGGCATCCATCCGAGTGCCAAACTTACGTACATGGCCTGCCAAACTGTCACGCCTTGTGCAGTGTATCGAGCAAAAATCGGCCGACTGAGCGAACAGCTGAACATCGATTACAGGTCGGTCTCCCGGCTCCGTCAATGCTGGTCCCGGCGAGCCCTCATTCCGTGGTCCTCACTGTCAATATGTTTGGGCGCAAGGCAGCATCTGGTCGAGTGAGTCACCAGCCAGTAAACGACATTTCTGAGCAACGCCAATTCCCAGGAAGGAGCAGGCGGCCATGCAGGGGGCGGGAAACTCTACTGAGCAGCGGGATCACGATCGCTGGTCCCCCCCCCATCACACCCTCCCACAAAGAATGAAATAGGAAGCGCGCAGTACAAAGCACGCGCGACCATGGCAGCCCGGACGTCCGCACATCCAAGGCGCCTGGCAAATTATGTAGCATCCAAACGCGGCCCTAGACCTAAATAACTCTTGAACAGTTGCGCTGGAAGTTTGAAACCCCAGCTCCAAGAAATGAAGAATCTGAGATACCCCTGGCAGCAACGATGAATTGAGCGCCTTGCACCCCCAAGGGATAGCCTTCAGGGCCTCCGTGGCGCACCTCAAAACCGCAGCAATTGAGTCACCACCAGACTGGTGTCCTGGAGCCCGGAAACAGACTGCCAATGAGCAGATGGGACAGCCTGTGCATCAGGTGGAACCAGCATTTTATATTATTGTCCATCCGCAGTGCTCTCTCACTCAGCAATCTTCAACCCTGGAGATAAAACATCAGAGTTTCTGTGTCACAGAACATGAACAAGTCTGGCAACACTGTCACTGGCCAATAGTCCAAGTGTTCATGCTTTCCAGGGGATGAAGGAAGCAACAGCCACAGGTGCCATACCTGTGTGCAGTAAAAACAGTCAACAACGCACTGCTTTGGGTTGTAACGGACAGCACTGCTCAGTGAGCAGCATGTGGTATTTGAGACCACCCTATCACGCCACAAGAACAACTTGGGGGCTTTCCATGGTCTTCTATTGCCTTGGTGACAGCTTATTAAGCAATATTTGTTCAAGAAAACATGAGAATGAATTATCATACGAATATGCTACATTGCATTACGTACGAGGCAATTGGAACAGAGTTTCAAGCACACACCTTGGGATTGCACTTTGTTGCTCAAGGCTCGGGTTGGCAATGACACTACAGCGAGACATAACTAACTTCCCCTCCCCCCCCCCCCCCAAAAAAAAAGTCAGCGGGTGTGTGTGCTTGCCTGGTATCACTCTACTACAGCAAGAATGTCCAGCTGGCATGCAACTCTCCACCTTGTGCCACCTCCTGCTTCGAGCACCCTGCCTTTCTGCCTTCTTTGATCTTCACGTCTTCATGCCCATTCTGCATCGCTTCGGCCGGTTTTTCTTTTTCTCCGTTGTGCAGAGGCTCACCTGGCTTCTCTGTGGTTGTTGCTGGTTCCTTGTGATCGCATTCTGGAGCCGAACGTGGCTCCTCAACAACGACAGCTGGCTCGTCAACAGCCGCGGCTCGCTCTACAACAGCCACAGCGGGTTCCTCAGCAGCCACAGCTGGTTCCTCAGCAGCCACAACTGCATCCTCTGCAGCCGTAGCTGGTTCCTCCGCTGCCACTGCGGGGCCATCGTCCTTCTCCTCCAGCACAGCTCCCATGGATTCAGCAGCAGGTTCAGCAGCGGCCTTGCCATCAGGTTCCTGGACGGCAGGGTCCTTCGTTCCTACCAGCGAGGGGTACTCGTCTCCATGGAGGTCCCCTGGTCCGACCTTGGCTCCTTTGGCATCAGACTTCTTGTTGGAGCCGGGTTTCGAATGGCTGTGCTGGTTGCCCTTGGCAATCGATGGTGCCTCGTCTGGCACCACACCCTTCTCTTTTTGATCATGCAGCTGTTGCTTCTTTTCCTTGACAAGCTCGATCGTCTTTGGGATGTCAGACATGGTGTTTGGCACCATTACCTGGCAAACAAACGGACAGAGAGCTGCTGAGTGGCCATCACACAACTACTTGACAGTGCCCACCATCCTCGATTTCGTGATTTGCTGCTCAGTAAGTCTTCAAGGCAAACTTTCCTTTCCAGTTCACTGCAAACAACAGGAACGACAGGCACTGCAAGTCTGTCCGTTGGACTTGTCTCATCCTGCTGCTGCCAGTTTCTTAGTCAGCTGGCCAACAGACAGATGACTGAACAAAGAAGAACACTCCTTGCTGAATTGATTATTTCTGCACAAGCCATGGATCCATCAATGTGGCTGCCCAACCTGCAGCCGATGAAACGCCTGCAAGATGTCAATCGTGTGCATGAGCTTCTTCTCATCTGCAGGCCTGTCTTCCTTCACCACCTTCTTGCCCTTCGTCTTCTTGGCCTTTCCCTTGCCCATGCCAGCAAACCACCCAAGGTCCTTGTCCTCATCCCTGTTCAGAAGCTTCATGCCTGGCTGTGGGGCTGCGATCTCCTTAGCCTCATCCTTTGCTGAGTCCTCTTTGCTGGGAGCACTGAACTTGGAGAGGTAACTCAACATTTGATCGCATTGAAGCAGCTGCAAACACATGCCAAACTCATTGTCCACCTATTCGCTGGCATTGCCCTCACTGTCATGCTCCTATTCTATTTGCAGGCACATCTGTTCTGCATCGTTCTTGCAACACTGAGTTTCAGTTTCTCTGACAGCAAAATGTGCACATGACGTGTTTTGTGCCTTGTCCCATTGGCAAGCGGCACTGCACATAAACTTCTATTGTCCATGTTCAGCATATTCAGAAGCACAGCCATGGACCAACATGACGTTGGGAAGGGTTTCCATACTGTCAATAACATGTCCTAGGTGATACTGCTCACAAGCAAGTTGGTGCAGATCCTCTGCTTCCATCAATCCTGCCAGACAAAGCCAGCACCTTCTAATCGACTGAACATTAAGCAACGCAAAAGCAAGCAATCCTCTCCAAATCCAAGGTACTCACAGTGCAACATGCAGACAAACGAGCCTTCTGGTGTGTGGGACTATGCATCTGGCGCCGTGTTCAGTCGTTAACGAACACTGTGACAGGAATACAACAAGCTGTCGTGGCGCATGGTCAAGGTCACACAGCACTCTGGTGTGCCCACCTTCTCTGCGTACACGTCCACCTCATACTCTGCCAGCTCTGCCGCTCGCTCCGCCTGCCGCTGCTCGTAGTCCTTCTTCTTGGCCTCCTGCCTGGCACGCATCCAAGCGAGCGAGGAAGGTAAGTCCCACAGCCCGCCACCCGAAATCCGTCCCAATCACCCTCGAACAGCCCGACTCGACCCGTCCAAGGAAGGCTGCAACGGGCGGCAAGCAACGCAGAGCGGGCGCGCACCGCACTAGCTCCACACCGGGGCGACTTCAATCCGTTCAGAGTTCGCCCCGGACGTCAAGCACGTCCCAGGTGTGGCCCTCACTCAAGAACTCTCCTGCAATCCACCAAGAACGCACCCCCCCCCACCCCCACTTTCTCCTTTCGGCTCACCTTTTCTTGCGGTCCTCGCTCTGCCACCTGCGGAACTCCGCGTCCCTCCTCTTGAACTCCTCGTACCTGCCCCTGTACTCGTCCCGTATGGCGTCCCGCTTGGCCCGCAGCGCCTGCATGATCGTCCAGCACTCCTCTTTCTCCTCCCGCAGCCTGGCCTCCTCCGCGCCGTCGTCGTCCCGCGCCGCGTGCAGCTCCCCCACCCGCCCCCTCTCGCTCGCCATCTCCCCCTTGAGCGCGTCCAGCCTTTCGTCCGCCCCCACCACCCGCCTGCCGAGCTCATCCCGCATCCGGTCATCCTCCTGCATCTTCTCCAGCCGCTCGTGGTAGCTCTTCACCGTCGCGCGGCTCTGCGCCAGGTCCTTGATCTGCCGCACCTTGCGCTCCTCCTCCACCGGCGACAGCGCCCCCCCGTTGAGCTCAGCCTCCAGGCGCGAGATCTGGCCGTCGATGTCCTCCACCGTGGCGTACTTCACGCGCCCCTTCAGCGCCTTCACCTGGCCCCGCAGCGCCTCGCGCGCCTTGTCCGCACGCGCCATCTCGTCCCTCCACGCCTGCTTCTGCTTCTGGAAGCACAACGCCAGCCCAAACGAGACCCTTCAGAACCTCAACAGCTCCGATCCCCACTCCCCGGGCTCCTCCCTCCGCGACAGCACCGCCAACCGGCTCAAGCAACTCGCCTGGGCCCCCTCATCCAATTCCACGCCTTGTTCTCAATCAAACTCAAGATCCACATCCCCCCACCCCACCCCCCACCCACATTCCCCACACCATCCACACAGTTGGCGACTCCACATCAGCTCCTCACAGCACGGAAAAGAGTCTTGCGCACGCTCGCCTGGGAGGGGGCGCCCTTTGTATGGCCGGCTTCCCTTTCAGGATAATTCAACAGCCTCTGCCCCACCCGCCGAACCCACCCAACATGAATCCAGCGCGACAGCATCCCTCCGCCGGTCGCCCGCGCCGCACCTTCGTGGCCTCGAACTGCGCCCTGAGGTCCGCCAGGCGGCGCATGATCGCCGACTCCTCCCCGGAGGCGCCCCGCGACCTGTCCCGCCGTGCCGCCAGGACACCTTTTATCTCCTTGATCCGCGCCGCGTGGCGCTCCGTCTCCGCGTTCAGCTTCTCCACCTGCTTGTCCATCTCTGCGCGGTCCGGCACCGCGGGCCGTTTCATCCGCGCAGGGCCCTTAGGGGCCGTCCCGCCCCCGCCAGCGCCCTCGGCCATCGCCTCGGGCTCCTCGAGCAGCGCCATCCGGACGCTGGGCTGGGCCGGGGAGGCGAGAATGGAGCCTGGGCCGGGCGGACGGGTGAGTGGGGGTAGCTACGGGGAGCTCCGGCGCTCGGGGGGCGGGGGGCGGGGCTGTGCGCCAACGGGCTGCCGCGGCTGTGTTTCGTGTGATGCTGGGCTTGCTCGGGCAGGTATGGTGTGGTGCCAGTCTTGAACGCGGCCGTGGCAGTGGCCCGTCTGTGCCAAATTAAAGGGCATCGTGGCGCGAAATCGGTCGGAAACTCGGTCGGGCAAAATGGGGAGCTGGTGGCTGCCTCCTCGCCTTGATATCTATTCTTCGTGATGGCGGAAATTCGGCGGGGCGGTTTGCCTTGGCGCAAAGCCCATCCCCCCATCCGCCAGTTCAAGCTTGGGGTGTGTCCCATCTGTGCTGCGCGCTCTGCGACGGTGTCTGGGTGTTGGATGGAACTGAATTGCCGTGGGCTCTATGGCGACAGCTGCGCCCCCATCAGCAGCTTGCGTATCCCAACATATAAACCTCGTCTTTCAGGAGCTGTGATCCACCTGGCCGCTTTGGACAGCGGTTTGGATTACGATGAAGAGGACAAAAATCCTTGAAAAAGCAACAGGGACCAAGTCTGGGAGACCACAGGACGACGCACACTGAAGTGCAGCGATTTTCGTACTTTGGCATTTCCAACCAAATTTATTGTTTCTCCTGCAAATGGAACGCCTCTTGATCGGATGAAGGGCGCACATTCTTGTTCTGCTCCGTCATTGTCCAAGCTTGAGATGCCACGTAAGGGTATGCCCCAGCCCCCAGGGCCAACACCATCTTTCAGACGATAGCCAACCAGGTTCTGCAGAGGACAAGTGTGAGCGCATGGCGTTACTCATGCCTGGAACCAGGATACACCGATCGTGCAAGTGTGAGCGCATGGCGTTACTCAAGCCTGGAACCAGGATACACCGATCGTGCATAGCTGGAGCTCTTGATCCCGAATCTCAGGCCTCCATGCTTGTCTCATATGCAATGATGTAAGTCGTACGGCCACCGATGTTGGGGCATGCCCATAGCGTGACGTGCCACCCAATACACTGCAGCAACGTGCTGTCCTGGCGTTTGGATTGAACCCACAATCACACAAACACATACAATTTCACTGATCTTCTCTCACAGTGCACATCACTCACGACACTCACTCAGTTCCTACTGGCGTCCACATGCACCAGATGTACCCACCACGGCAGCAAGTTCCAGGGCTGCCACAAAGTTCAGCAATTTTCGAAAGCAAATAATGCAGACCACAGGAAAATGCGGAACTGGAACACAATCACTCACTGTAACGCTACACATGCACTGATAAAGGTGTTCCCTACTTGCCATTCATCCAAGCCATCAAAAGTTTGCATACACTCACATTTGCGCTCCTGCCACTGACCCCACTTCCTAGCCAACTCGATACTATTGGTGCAATATACACCACAACTCCAACTGATACGAGGCCATGCTTGCCTGCTATCTCTCATATGTGCACTCCTGCTCTGAACATGGCTTTGCAACAATCTTAAATCTATTGGCGCAATATGCGCCATCAACACATCTAAGGAGGCCTTATGCACCCATCCACTGTTTCGTCTATGTTGTGGCATGGCGCAGGGCACTCCTCCTCTCCTCTCATCCAGTCTATTTGATCAGCTCAGGTGCAACTGGCACCAAAACATTGCCCTATGAGGGCATGTTCACTCCAAGGAATTCAATAAAAAGAACAGACACCAAGCTTCAGTGCATGGGGCCTCACTAAAACGAGCCAATTGTCCTTCATTCGCACTGAAAACTCGATCAGCATGCCAGGCAATGGTTGCCTCGTCATGAGTCGCCCACTTCACTGTGGCTGACACTAGATGAATGTGACGCTGTATGATGGACACCAGATTGCAAAACCGTTGATGGTGTGGCAGCGGAAGACCTCAGGCGCTCCCAAGTGTCCAGTGCAACCTGCGGTGGCACACAATAAACACACGATCAGTCAATCCCTTCAATTCCACCTCAAGAACTCCTTATCTACATTGATCAAAACCATGATATGTCACCTCACCTTCTCATGCACCCAATGTGTAGGAACCAATAGATCAGACAATTTTCACAATTGTGAACAAAGTATCTCACTGTTCTCTTGTTGCCATTCCTTTCAAATGCCAGCAACAATAGGCACGACCTTGATGCTTCAAATGGTCTATAAGCTCAAATGATGGACAGTCAGCATCGGATCTACCACAGAAGAGCAAGCAAGGTTCGCACACACACTGCCTTGTGCGCAAACACAAGTTCTAGGATACCGCCCAGTGCACAAAAGCATATACGCTGCGAAATTCTTGTGCCAGGCGAAATCTCCTCCCAGTGACATTCGCAGTACATCTTCCAATATTGGCACTTTGCTGTATCTGAATTCGTCAGCTGTCCATCACTGCATCTCCTGGTGGAAAAGGGCAGCCCAGAAAGCGTGGCCACATCACATGGGCGATCAGAGTGTAAGTTAGCAGTAGTGGCCAGTGCACTTCAAGCGAACACATGGGTCTCCTCACCCATGTTCAGCTGGCAAGGTAATTGTCGCTGAATCGGGAAGTATACTAGATTCTGGTGGCAGACAATACCATTGTCTGTTCCCTTAGCTATCCGGCAGCTATATTTAAGCTCAGCCGATGGCGACTGCTGCAAAGAAAGTGCCCGGCAACCTTTCAGCATCTGCTAGCAAACGAAGAGCACTGCACTTTGCAGTGGCCATCGTGAAGACCAATGGGCCAAACACTGCTGAAACTCTCCTGGGGGGTGACTTGAGGTTGGGGTTTTAACATTTTTGCCAAGCAAAATGCAGCAAGGGGCTACAAGTTCATGCGATGGAAAGTTTCTGAATAAAAAGTTTGCAGCACAGCTTGGGAATGAAGTAAGCGAAAACTCATGCACCACAAACAATTTTCAGGCTCTCAGTGGCAAGACTGTCATGGGGCAGCATTTCAAGCATGCTGGCTTGCGATCTGTGCTAAGTGGTGTGGGTGTGTGCCTGCTCACTTTTTGTCTGGATACTGACAAAGTCACATCACCTTCCAATGGATTTGTGGCTCATTTACCATTTGTGCATGCATGCACATACCAGTTCAATCCAAGCAGTGTGCACTACTCAAGGAAGTGTCTGATATTTGTGCTGCATGCCAACGAAATAATGGGTTTAATGGGTTTACAGACATGCTTGTCTAACTGTGAAGCACAACTGGTGGTGTTTCCATTGGTGCATACAATACCAACTTAATGGAGAACAGGATGCCAATGCGAGCAGAAATGCCACTGGTGTCAGCAGCGACAGTGGGTAGTGGCCAACACTGATGCTTCCACAATTCCGTTATCCACACCTGTGTCTGCTGAATGATGACTGTAGGAGCCCGACTCCTGTGACGCCCAATCTGTTCGATGTTCTGGTGCACCTGCGCCAGCACTTCATGTCCCTGATAAGGAGGCTTGTCGTCTTGCTGTGTCACTGAACTTTCTTCCACCGCCTGTTGGTCAGAAAATTGAGCCTGCTGCTGTTGTAGCTGGCTGATGGCATCCTCCACACGATGTATCAGAGAATGGCATACCTGCATGGCCATGCAGGCACCTACTTCTGACAGGGTCCTTTGAAGCAATGATATTCGAGGTTTTGGACACACTTGGAGATTGGTAGAACAGGACAGAGACACAGACAGAGACAATTATTAGCATCGATACCCCAAGTAATCCTTTCAACAAGAACACTGGGAGTTTCGCGCTGTTGACTTTCCCACAACGCAAAGATGATGCTATTGAAGCCAGGGCCCACAGGGCGATGCAAGGCACTCGTGTTGCCATATTCGCATGTGCGGAGCCCTGAGCCATTCGGAAGGAGTGGTGTCCAACTCAACGGTCTATGTGAAGCCTTTCATTGTGAAAAGGGCGCGGTTCATCCAATGAGCACCTTCCTCCCAATCAAGCAATTTAGCGAGGTTAGAGAGGGTCCGGTGACACCGTCAATATGATGGAAGCGCGGACAAAGAGATCTGGGGCACCAGCCGACTGCACCCAGGCGGGCACAAAAGTGCGGCCTGCAAACATAGCGCCGTCCCTCTGGCAGAGACCGCCAGCCGGCCTCACCACACCTCCCGGCCTGCCGAGCAAGCAATTTGCGGCACTCTTTTTCCATAGTGCAAGCCGCACCGGATGCCGGCAACACCTGCGAGCGCGGCTGGAGCGGCGGCACGCAGCCCCAGCACTGCCCGCGTAGCCCACCTCGGGAGAGAAGAAGGGCTGCTTCACGAGCGTCTCGATCGGAACAGACTCCACCGTGCCCCCCGTCTTCTTCCTGTGCTTCTTCAGGATCTTGACCATGCCGGTGTAGGCCAGCATGCTCCAGTGCATGAACAGCACCAGCTCGCCGTGGAAGTCCACGCAGCGGCGGATGAGCAGGTGGCAGCCCTCCGGCGTGCTGATGCCGCGGCTCTCCTCCTCCAGCGCCTCCAGCCGCATCACGATCTGCTCCTCCCGCTCCACGAACGTCTCGTTGAGGTACCGCAGGTGGCGGCCCAGCGCCTTGGCGAACTCGTCCTCGCACTCGTTGGCCCCCTGGAAGTTGCCCTGCGAGAGCACGCCCTGCATCCGCCGGATCTGCTTCTTCAGCGCCTTATACTGCCGCGACAGCTCCTGCACCTCCGGCAGGTGCCGCGCCGTCGACCGCAGCAGCTGGCAGAACTTCATCTGCCGATCTGCGACCGGGCGATCGGCTCACGCGCCCGGCACTTGGACACAGGGCCCGGACACCCGAGGGGGCCTCCGCCTGACGTCCGACTCCAGCGGGATCTCCCTTGACCGAGCCCGCCGTTGCAGTCCAGGACGGGCGCCGGTGGTCTGTGTCAACGGCGCCGGGTGGTTGGGGCGCCAGCAAGGGGCCCAAGCAGGTGCATTGGCCCACCAGCGGTGACGGACGCCGGCGCCAGCGGGGAGTCAATGACTGCGGCTGTGGAGAGGCAGGCGCGACTGTGTGCCGTGGCGCCGGTGCCGGCGGGTAGCGGACCACGTCAGGGCGGAATGAACACACGGCGGCGGTCTGCACAACAAGGCGGGGAAATATGGAGGGCCGAGGAGCAAGTCACGGCGCGTAACCGGCATTCTTGTCCGAAAATAGGGTCTTGCCTGCTGGGCAGAAGGTACTGTGCGCTTGTGAAGACCAGTGAGAGAAAAGAGATATTACCGTGTCATTTTCATTTTATCCTCCAATGGGTAATGAATGCCATGTCCATATCATGAATGTAGTGTTCTTTTGTAAGCCCACATGCTTCCTTGTGCAAACTTCAAAATCCTCAATAGCAAGGCTGCAACATATCGGAATGAACCATTCTCAGAAAACCATTGGAAGATTGAATCCGCCAAACTGAATGGTTTACTTGGACCACAATTTTCCAAGGTCCTAACCAGAAAGGAGCAAACTTCTTGTGATGTTGCTTCATGCGTTCAAAGTCCCATAACCAAACGAGATCACCAAGAGCATATGTATGACATCGTAAACAGAGACGATCATGCGCCAATTTGTGGGCCTTGTTCATGTTCTCTCGTACATTCTTCAAAACTGTAGAATCACCATGCCAAACTTTCTCTAGTGTATAGTTGGTATTGGAGTTCCAGGTAGTGCAAATCATGATAGGAACTGTTGGTTGGGGGCGCCTACACTTTTTAATTTCCGGACCCGCCTCGCTGGGAACCTGGTGGCTTACCGGCCATAAGGCAGTTCCATCCCTAACTACTACCCATATAGTATATTGGGTTAGAGCCCCTAACCCCTAACTTAGGGGGTTATCATCAAAGAACTGGGTAAGGCCAGAGGTGGGCCGTCCTGGAGCGGGGACGGACCGGAGTCTGTTCCCGTCCTTGGGCCGGCAGTGATACGTGAGGATTGTTGGTGTGGGGCTCTTGCCCTCTTTGAGCCACGGACCCGCCTCACTGGGCACCTAGGTTCTTACGGGGACCTAGGCGGGACCACTCTGACCTACTCCCGTATCATATATTATCGTATAAGCTGGTTAGGGTATCGTTACCATATCTTGGGCAGGGCGTCCCCCATAACAAGGAGCCATTAGTAGGGCGTCCCCCACATCAAGCCAGTGTGCATAACATTCGTTCCCCTCAGGGAGGTGGGACGTCCCCGTCCCAGTGCAGTGATATGGGAGTAGATGCATGCTTGGCTTCTAGGCCTGCTGTGGTTGGTGGACACTGATTGTGCATCTTGACACATGCCCAGTGATCCACACAGTGTGTATTACATGCACATTGAACAGAAAGAGTGGTTGTTACATAGAAAATGTTCTTGCTGAAAACCCTCATTAAAACTCTTTCTTTAGCTTACAGGCTGGAAAGACATTACTCCAAAATAATGTACAATTTCCCTCAACGACCTCTCAGCCTGCCTATGACCTCTCGGCCTGCTCAAGTCCAAAAAATGTCCATGACGTATAGGGATCACTCTGCACGTCCTCCACGATGACCACCTCCAGCCATTCTTGCATGACCTCGTCCTCGCGGAGTGTAGTTGGGGTGCCATCCTCGACCGCACCCACGACCCGATGGAATCACCACTGGGCCGTCGCTCTGGACTCTCTCACCACTCATGATGTCAATGGACATTGCATTTATATGTCCAAACTACGAGTGGGACCGAGGTCCTTGGTACCCAATATTTTTTTGGGCCCAACATAGCATTTTCTGGCACATATAAAGCACAGACATGTCCATGTCAGTGTGTACATTTCGTACTGCATGTATTGTGACCAGTTTGCACATTTGTCACAAGAGTTCAACTATTTTCAAACGCTTGAACCAATTCCTGTGTATTTGCAATTGCTTTTGCTGGTTCCCAGTTATTATGTTCATGTCCATAACCCAGCCATTTGACAAGGTACTCCATGGAGTCCTGTCTATGACCACGTTTTTTAATTCTTTTATCAAGAATGCGTTCAACTTCATACTCTAGTTCCCCTTCGATTTTGATAGGGACTGGGGGTGGCTGTACTCTGCCACTAGCCTTATACGGCTTGAGTTTCAATACATGGAAAACCGGGTGTATCTTACTCATACTGTCCGAGAGTTCTAGCCGGTATGCAACAAAACCTATCCGGTCAAGGATGGTGAAGGGCCCGATCCACCTCGGTAATAATTTTCAAGTTCCAGGGTGCTTGAGGGTGATATGCTATGTCGAAAGGAGGACGTCATCTTATTTATTGTACGACACATCCCTCCGATGGCGGTCAGCATACTTTGACTACCTAGCTCGTGCTTTCTCTAAGCACTCCCTGGCCTCTTTCAGTGCTGATTGGATACGGTGATCAAATCGTGTTACTTCTGGTAATCCCTCCATGAGAAACTTACCATTTTGCCTCAAATAAGGTTGTTGTGCTCTATCAATGGCCACTGCCAAGCCGCAGGTATTCGGATTGTCATAGCCTTTTAATGGCTTCCAAATTTGCACCCCAAGGTCTAAGGGACTCTTTGGGTGTCGACCATAGTTCAAATGGAGCAGGGTCTCTTGGGTTGAACTATTTTTCGAGTTGTTCATAGCAAACTTGGCCATGGCTATCAGTTCATCCTATGCGTCTTGCTCAAAATGCGTATAACTATGTAAGTAGTCCTCCAAAATCCGATTCATGACTTCGGTCTGGCCATCCATTTGTGGATGGTATGCAGTGCTCATGTTGAGCTGCATTTTCTACCTCTCTGCCAGGTACCGGTAAAACCTGGAAGTGAACCGAACATCTCTGTCAGACACTATTATAGAGGGGAGACCGTGGTGTCGTATTATATTCTGCACCAACAGATCTGCTGCTCCTTCCACGGAGACTTCAGTCGTAGTGGCTACGAGGCGCACTATTTTGGTCGGCCTATCAACGAGCACAATGATGGCATCATGACCTCCCTTAGTTTTTGGCAATTAAGTAATGAAGTTTATAGACAATTCAGTCCATGGCTCTTCAGGAATGCCCAATGGTTGTAACACGCTTGGGGTCTTTTGACGAGAATACTTAGCCTGTTGACAAACCAGGCAAGTATCAACATATATTTGTACTTCTTGTCACATTCCTGGCCACCAGTAATACCGCTGGACCAAGTCCAGAGTTTTGGCTTGACCAAGTGTCCTGCACTTGGATGGTCATGTGTCAACTAGCAGATTTCAGTCCTTAGACTTGCTGGTATATATACCTGCTCGCCTCACAACCATAAATTGTTTGTACAACGCAATTCTTGCTACTGTATGGCGATAAGCCTGACGGATCCTTAAGTCTAAATCTTCTACCTCTACCACCCTTTGTGACCTTTGGTCATTACCCCGCTTGTGTATTGCCCTTAAGCAACGCACAGCCAGTTGACTCTTCCTTATAGCTTCCTGTTCACCAGAGGCTAGAGGAATGTGAGAAAGTGGATCAGCCACGTTCCTTCTCCCAGGGCGATATTCCCAATCAAAGTCAAATTGTTGTAAAATTTCTGACCATCTGGCTTGTTGCCTGCTCAGTTGTGGCTGTGACTTGAGATAAGTCAACGGGCAATGATCCATCACCAGTTTGAAATGTGTACCCTCCAGGTAACATCGCCACAACTGGACAGCATGCACGGAAGCCAAAGCCTCCTAGTCTATTACGTTGTAGTTCAACTCCGCAGGGAGGAACTTCCTGCTGGCATAATAGATTGGATGGTTGTCATGCATAAGGACTGCTCCCACAGCAGTTTGGGATGCATCATCAATGACCTCAAATGGTCTACTGGGGCCTTGTATTTTGAGCAAAGGAGCTGCTGTTAGACACTCCTTTATATACTTGAATGTCGACTAACATTTTGCGGTCCACTCCCATTTGCCATTCTTTTTGGTCAAGTCTATCAAGGGAGTAGCCATTTTCGAATAGCCTTGAATGAACTTTCAAAAATAGTTTGCCAGCCCAAGGAACTATTGTACGTGCTTCACGCACTGTGGTACATGCCAGTTCTTCACTTTTTCAATGCCTTCCAGGTCTGGCCGAATGCTTTCTTGAGACACAGTATGTCCCAGATTGGAGATCTCCTCCTTATTGAATTGGGACTTGTGCAACTGGCAATACAGCTTCTATTGCCATAGTGCTTCTAATACCTATTTTAGGTGTTGCAAATGCTCCTCAACAGTTGGGCTAAACACCAAAATATCGTCCATATACACCAGGACGTGTTTGCCTATCTAATCACCAAATATATAGTGCATCATCTGCTGGAATATGGCTGGGGCGTTTGCGAGTCCAAAAGGAAGAACCTTGAACTCATACAAACCCAACGGCATCACAAAAGCCATCTTGGCATAGTCTGCCTTGTCTATCCAAAGTTGATAGCACCCTTGCTACAAGTCAATAGCCGAGAATACTTTGGCTCCTTGCAGTTGGTCCAACAGGGTATCTATCCTTGGTATATGCCACCTATTTTTTTTGGCCTTGTTCAAAGCCCTGTAATCAATACACATTTGGAGGCTGCCATCAGGCTTAGGCACAAAGAGTACCGGGGCCCCAAAAGGGCTGCTGCTCTCTGTGATAAGACCTTTCCGTAAAAGATAATCCACCTGCTCCCGTATCTCGTCCATTTCTTTTGGAATGTACCAGAAAGCTGGGCACTTTACCGGTTTAGTACCTTCCTCTAAGGGAATGCTTAGGGCGATGCCCCGATCAGGGGGGAGGCCTGCAGGTAGTTCATCGGGA